TTGGAGATGGAGTTTCGCTCTTGTCACCCAGGCTGGAGTGCAATGGCATGATCTCAGCTCATTGCAACCTCCACCTCTCGGGTTAAAGTGATTCTCCTGCCTCAGCCTTCTGAGTAACGGGGAAGCATGCGCCACCACACCTGGCTAATTTTTGTATTTTTAGTAGAGACGGGGTTTTACCATGTTGGCCAGGCTGGTCTCGAACTCCTAACCTCAGGTGATCCGCTTGCCTTGGCCTCCCAAAGTGCTGGGAATACAAGTGTGAGCTGCTGTGCACACCCAGTTTAACTTAGTGGGTGGTGGCGGCTTCTCCTTTACCGCCTCTCATCAGAGCTCCAGGATTGGTAAATGATTTTGGCAGGAGGGAGACAGAATGGACCAAATATTTAATCTCCCTTGGCAGACTCTTCGGGTGCAAACACCTCAGGGCCACTCCTTACTGGACAAACAGGACTACAGGCCTTTCCATCATGTCCTGCCCTAACTTCTAGTAAAGGCAACAGGTGCTGTGGGATTTGGGGCCAGATCTCCTGGGTATAATTCTGTGTCTGCCATTTCCTGACTGTGTGTTCTTGGACAAATAAGGTAAGTTCTCTGTGCCTCAGTTTCCTCATCTGCAGTAGCAACAGTACCAAGCTCAAACGTTGGTACTCCAAACCTGGGAGGATTAAATGAGTTCATTGAGATTAAGTGTCTCGCAGAGTGCCTAGCACATAGTAAATAGCCAGTAAATGTTCATTCATTCAATAAATGTTCATCATCATCATATTATTACGATTATTCTCCTTCAGGGCCTACCTTGCCTTACCTGGGGAAGAGATTGATCATTACCTCATTCTCTGCCATTGTGTTTTCTTTTCTATCGTCAGCTCCTTCTTGGTCTCTATCAGGTCTCTTGGTTTTATTTTTCTCATTCTGCTTGGACTTGACGCCCTCAGGGGCCCTAGTGACGTTTGGCCCCAGCCCATCTTCCTTGCCTGAGTCATCGGGATGGGGGTGTCTGCTTTCCCGCAGCCTGGCCTCTTCTTTCCTCCTGGACCTCCCGAGGGCATCCTGCTGCTGCTTCAGATACTTGTCCGACTTGGCTTTGGGCTCTTTTCGGTAGTAGCCGTCTTCGCGGCTTTTGTAGCTGGACCCAGCGTGGGGCGGGTTGGGAGACCCAGACCTCAGGTACTTTTCCCGGTGGGGCCTCCCTCCTTCCGGTCGATCGTCCAACTCCGCCTTGTCCAGTTGCCGGGGGTGGTGTTTACGATCATGTGTCCAGGGCTCCGTCCTGTCCCTCTTGTCATCACCGTTCTCCCTCCAGGGAGCTGGGTCTCGTTCTTCCTCCCTCCTGGCATAGGGAGAGTGCTCCCAGGAGTCACGGCCATTGCCCCAGTCAGCCCGGGAGGGGCCTGGAGGGCTGTGGGAAGAGCTGCAGGAGGTGAAGCTCGGAGTGTGGGACCGCGGGGAGAGTGACCGGCTCACTGGACTACGAGACCGTGGCCTTTCTGGGCCATATCTGCGAGGGAGACAAGGGGCAGGATTTAGAATCCTCACACCCATCCCACCGCACCCACACACAGATACACAGTCTCTCTCTGAGATATACTGTGCATGTGGCTATGCACCCTCTTAACGCCCAACTGTGCAGAACCACAGACGGTGCTTGGGAAGAAAGCCTTTTCCTCCCTCCCGGCCTCTGCGAGGAGGACTTTCCCGAAGCACAGCACTGGCCGAGGCTCCGCCCCTTTACACTTTCTGCTTCTGGGAACTAGGAAGAAGAACTGGGTTGCTTTGGCTCGGCTCCAGCTTGCCTTCTCTTAGAAGTGAGCTATGCTCAGGGAGTGGACCTCTGACTCTCCTCCTGGGGTTGTGCAGGGTGGGTACGGGGGGGGGCAAGACTGCCCTAGTCCAGCCTAGTGGGTAAGGCTGCTTAACCCTCGGCGCCATTAGCCAGCCTCTTAGCTACAAGACTGGAAGCCACACCTACATTTGGGCTCTATCAGAATAAAGCCAACCTCTTGGCCTCCACTTTTCTCATGAATTTCTCAGGTCAGTTTATGCATGGAAAAGCGATGCTAACTATTGGGGAAGGCAGGCTCAGAGGTTAGAAAAAGAATTAGGAAGGCATTTTAGGGTTGGAAGAGACTCTAGAACTCCGACCTACACATGTTTAAGATGAAAAAACTGAAACCCAGACCAGGACCCCAAACTATGTAAGGTTCAGAGCAAGACTTTCTAAACGCCCTCCACTCTGCTGCAGAATTGCAGGTGGCAAGATGTGGTTTCACATGTCTTTAAAACACCCAAATAACCACAATTTTAACAAAACAGACAAACGAATAAACAAATACAGATTCTAAGCCTGAACAGTTACATATAATGATACAGTAAACAATACAGATTCCAAGCCTGAACAGTTGCATACAATGATATACACATACACAGATACACATGCACTCTGAATGCTGTTTGGTTGTTAAGCAGGTCAACTGAGTCATATATCCGATATTCTAAAAGGATGGGCATTTTTTCATTTAGTTCCCAAATACAGGAAAACCACGCAGCCCTCACTGACCAGGGGACACCGAGGAGCATCTTGCTAGGACCAGGCGGCCTTGACCATCATGGGGGAAACAGCCTGGGCTTGTGCCCTCTACAGGAAGTGAGAGCACCGCCTGCGGCCACCCCAGCAGGAATCCCAGGATGTGCCAGGAGGTGCCTGCTTCTGCAGTTTTCTACCTTGGCTCTCTGCAGGAACTATCTTTGTAGGGGAGTAACAGTGGTCAACCTGTAGCCCCAGTTTGGCCTGATCACAAACTTCAGTTGTAAGAAATAGGTTGGAAAACGGAATATATTCAATGTTCAGAGAAAGTGACTGTTGAAGTAACTGATTGTTTTTTTTTGAACCATCTACATTCTACTTTTTACATCTACATTCAGCTCATGAAAAACCAAGAGCTGGCTCTAAACAGAAGCCACATGTACACACACACACACACACACACACACACACACACACACACACTACTTTTAGGCTATTTTAGTAGGGTGTAGACTTGCCCCAAAGGGCCAAATATTAACAGACCTTTTCCTATATTATTTTTCAGCAAAGGTGGAACAGATGAAGGGAAGCCCAGCATTCTCCCGAGGTTAACCTGAGCAGTATATCTGAATTGGACTGCTGTTTCTCATGGGGACCATGGAAAGGTGGGACCCAGGAAAGCAGATAGATGGGTTAGGGGCAAGAGCAGGGCACAGTGTGACTCAAACACCCCTAAGAATGAGAAACAGGAGTGTGTTCCCACTACCCAGAACCTGCCTGGAGACTTGGGGCTGGGGCCTCACCTGTCTGCTTCCCGGAACAGGTCCCTCTCCCTCTGGGAATGGATGTCCTGGATGATGGCAGCCACGGCCTTCCCGGGTTTCTAGCAAAGTCAGAGAGATCACCATCAGATCAGAGATGGCCTTGCAAACACCAGAGGGAAGCAGCTCTGACCTGGGTCATTCATTGCCTGATCCGCCAAAAGGGACAATGTGCCTTGTGTAAGGAAGACAAAAAGTATAATCCAATGGATGAGTGTGAGTGTGACGCTGAACCAGGTAGGGCCGAGCGAGCCAGAGAACACTGAGTGGTCCATCGAGCTGGGGAAGGAAGGAGCCTGGTGTTCACATCCACCTGCTGGGGACAAGCAGCATTTGTTAATACCCACTTCTGCCTGAATAAAGAAAACATTTAAAATATGAAAGAAAGAGAGGGAGAGAAGGATGGAGGGAGGGAGGGAAGGAAGGAAGGAAGGCAGGCAGGCATGCATTATAAACCTGGAGAGACTTGAAGATCATTGATTGCTGTCTCCACCTTTTAGATCTGTGGAAACTTAAAGCCAGAGAGGTTGAGGCAGGGTCTCTGCCACCTTGTGTCCCATGCAGATGGTGACTCTTGGACTTGTGTTGGGTTAAGAAACACTTCAAGGTCACACAGATAGTGAAAAGAATCAGGACCTGACACCAGGTATTTAAACTCCAAGTTTCCTTCCATGCCCTGTGCCCCCATCAACACCTCATGTGCAGGGATCAGCCGATGCTCAGAGTAAATCTGTGAGGAGGATGGCAGAGCTGGAGTCAGGCTTCACAGCTGAGGATGGCTGCCAGCCAGAGCTCCACCCTTCCTAGAGATCATTAGATGGGGGCTATGCCGGGACAGGACCAACCCCAGCCCCCCGTTCCCAACCAAAGCCCTTTCCTAAACCCAGAATGGACATATGATAACCAAAATAAGTAAATAATAAATGATTTTTAGAAAGAAATTCATAAGCATAAAAGACAAGTCAGGAGCATTTTCCTAAAGACTATGCAGAATTGATCCCTGAGATAAAAATCTACCAAGCAGGGTGAATTTTATGGAATGTGAGTTATATCTCAATAAATAAAGCTGATTTTTTAAAAAGACTAAGACTAAAACCCCTCAGTCGATGTAAACTTTTGATAATGGCTTTTATTAAATTTAATCAACTGCTTTTTATCCTTGATGTTTTCTATGTAATTTACAAAAAGCAATTTTCTTTTTTTTTTTTTTAAAGAAACGGGGTCTTGTTCTGTCACTCAGGCTGGAATGAAGTGGCACAATCACAGCTCACTGAAAGCCTCAACTTCCCAGGCTCAAGTGATCCTTCCACTTCAGCCTCCAAAGTAGCTGGGACTACAGGGGCTCACCACCACGCCTGGCTAATTTTTTAGTTTTTATAAAGACTGGGGCTTGCTATATTGCCAGGGCTGATCGCGAACTCCTGGGCTCAAGTGATCCTCCCACCTTGGCCTCCCAAAGTGCAGGGAGTATAGACATGAACCACCACACCCAGCTAAATAATGCAATAAGAGCCATACAAATGTTTAAAAGCATCAGTATCTCATTTGACAGATGGGAAACGCAGGTCCAGAGATGTGATCTAGCTGGACTAGCATGGATGAGTACTCTGAGTGGCGTGGTTGATTATCTGTTGTTGTTGAGACAGAGGGTTGGGCTGGGAAAAACACAGAGTAAAGGTGAGAATGAAGGAGGAGCTGCCTCTGCAGTTTCAGGGAGAGAGGTCAACGCTAAGACACAGGGAAGAGACATAAAATGTTCAAGTGAGAGAGGGACCTCTTGTCATATGGAGATGCTGCATGAAAGAAAGTCAAAGAGAAGGCAGTGACTCCTTTATCTGTGCTTGTGAAGAACTCAGAGGTTAAGAAGTCAGCCAACCCCCCATTCAAGAAAAGGCCCAGGAACTTAGCACTGGGCAGGATGTCCACTAGAAAAGGCACCACAACTTTGGCAAATGGTCCCTTATGTCAAATGAGCTGTAGAGACTGACCTTCTGTAAAGCACATGAAGGGGCCACCTGCAAATAACCACATCACCCAAGACTCACACTGGCCTCCAGCACCTCAGCCACTTAAACTGGACCACAAGCAGAGACCCAAGGCCAAACAAGGATAGAAACCAAGGCTGTTGGCATCAGCCAAGAAGAAGGCTGCTGCCCAGATGTCTCCTTCTACCCCACCATGTGGCTAGAGATCAGCCAGAGTTGGTTCTCACTTGGCTAAAAGAAGAAGGCTCATTTGGAGCTGACTGTACTTAATGTGGATCCCACCAAGCAGGTCTTCCTCCTGCCTGTCCATCCTGGGCCACACAATGGATTCCAGCCACTGTATCATCAAGGGAAAGCCAGCTGGGATGGCTGGTCCCTGAGACGACCTGCCTCAGCACTGCCTTCACACAGGCACCAAGGGAGCAGCGGAGCTTGGGAAAGCTGGTGGGAGCCATCAGGATCAAGACAATGTCATGAGATTTGCCATCTCCAGGGACACCACAAACCAGGTCCCTCCCAAATCTGTGGCTTGCACTGCCAAGCTAGAACAGACCAAGGGTAAAGAATGTGCCCCCAAACTGGGATAAATGTACATGGCAGCTCTTCAGAACATAAAAATAAAATTCCCCATGGGGGTTGGATTGGGAACTTCCTGTTGTAAAAAGAGTCTCCAAGATTCCAGTTTTCTTCTGCTCTTCTGGAACCTCATATCCTCCTGATTATTTCTTCCAGCACAGATCCAGGAAAAACAGAAGTGGGAGGAGGATGCCCTTGGCAGAGAGTGGCTGAGGTTTTGCAAATTACCCAGGACAGAGTGACTGTGAGGGTGGGGCTCAGGCACATGAGGGCAGGAGCAGGTCAGGCCAATGCCAGGACCAGAGGCATTCCTTGAGCTCTTGGTCCCTTCTGCACCTTGGTTATCACAGACAGCACCCCCAGGCCCTTCCCTTCTGAGTGCCCCCTGATGAGGGGCAGAGCAGGCTGATAAGACACCCCAGATGAAAACATCCTCTAGTGGCCCATGCATTTTCCCAGGGGTCAAAGAGGTGCAGTTAGAGTAGACCTAGAAGAGCCTCTTTTTGGCTTAAACATTCCTCTGCCCCTTATTTTCCTAACCACAGAACCTCCTCCTGGGGTCACTTTCAGCCCAGCACCTCCTGGAGTTACTTCTCTCTGGATCCCAGGTCCCCAGGGAGGGGCCCCCTGGGCTGATGATCTTTATACAGCCAACACCAGCACAGAGCCTGGCATGGAACAGGTGCTCCCTAACACCCATCCCAGGATACATGGCTGGAGAGATGGACGGATGCAGCTGCAGAGAATGAATACGAACCTGCAAATACTACATGGTGGGGCTAGCGGTCACAGGTACTGTGATCCCTCCTGAGCATCAGAGCATCTGTTCTGCTATTTTAGGTGGTAATTGCAAATTGTTTGTGCTCTCTGGACCAGCTGCTATCTGAAAAGGGGACAGAAGTAGCCAAAGATTTTTGGATAAGATAATCGACTTCAGAAAGCCCTAAGAAAATTCTCCCCACCTTCTTCTTTGGCCAGCCTCTGTATTCTCTGGTTAAAGGTATAAACAGGGCAGGTGAAACAAAGTTGTAATCACCCCAGAAAAATTGAAATAGGAGAGAATAGAGTGGGTCTATGATAAAATTTTGGTTACCTTATTATAGAGAATTTCAAACATACAGAGAAGTAGGGAGAATGGTTTACTGAACCCCCAAGAATCCACTACCCATCTTCAACAATGCTAACCAGTCTTGTTGCATCTTGACACGATTTTGTTCTGTGCCCCCACCCAAATCTCATGTTCCATTGTAATCCCAAATGGTGAAGGTGGGGCCTGGTAGGAGGTGACTGGATTATGCGGGTGGTTTTTAGTGGTTTAGCATCATTCCCCTAGTACTGCTCTTGTGATAGAGTTCTCATGCGATCTCGTTGTTTAAAAGTGTGTAGCATCTCCCTGCTCCCACTCCTCCTCCTGCTCTGGCTGTGAAAGACACGCCTACTTCCCCTTTGCCTTCCGCCATATTGAAAGTTTCCTGAGGCCTCCCCAGCCATGCTTCCTGTACAGCCTGGGGACCTGTGAGCCAATTAAACCTCTTTTCTTTATAAATTACCCACCCAGGTAGTTTTTTGTTTTTTTTTTTCAATGGTGTCTCACTCTGTGGCCCAGGCTGGAGTGCAGTGGCACAATCTCGGCTCACTGCAGCCTCTGTCTTCTGGGTTCAAGCGATTCTCCTGCCTTAGCTTCCTGAGTAACTGGGATTGCAGGTGCGTGCCGCCACACTCCGCTAATTTTTGTATTTTTAGTTTAGGTTTCATCATGTTGGCCAGGCTTGTCTTAAACTGTTGATCTCGATTCACCTGCCTCAGACTCCCAAAGTGCTGGGATTACAGACATAAGCCACCATGAGGTAGCTCTTCATAGCACTGTGAGAATGGACTAATACACATCTGTACTCACCACCCTCTTTCCCCACCCCCAATATTATTTTGAAGCAAAGGTCAGACATTGTTATCTTTTCATCCATTCTGTGTGATCCTGCTCAACAATCCCACAAGGGACCATCTATAGCGCTCAGAGTTAACCCATCTTGCTGCTTTTAAGACAAGGGTGAGATTCCAAGCCCCATGTGGTCCTAGAAAAGTGCTGTCATATTAAGAGGGAGGCACCACAACTTGGAATCTCAACCCAGGAAGAGCAGCCCCAGCCCTTCCCCCACCTGGCTGGGTCACCCAGGATCAAGGCTCATTGCCTATGGGAAATACTTTCTCCACCTGTAAAGGTGGGTTAATGAGGCCCATCTGGCATCCACCGAAAGCCTCAGGGCATGGCAGGCTATACCCATAAAAGTCACAGAGTGCTTGGCCAACATGAGGGAGCTGCTGGAGAGTTTCATGCCCTCTGACGACTCCACAACTGTTTTACACACTTCAGGAGTCCTGGGAAGATGCTGAAACCTTCCAGATGAGCCCAGAACTCACCTCAGCCCGATCCTGTCGAGGCAGCCCTGACTGTTTCAACGTGACCAGGCTTTCTAGGCTCGACATCCTCACTCGCCCTCCTC